CTAGTAGATCATCAGTAGTTTGTAGATCACAAATAAAAATTGTTACAGTAATTGTTTGGAGTATTATTACTAACAACCTTCTTGTTCTTCTATTAATTTAAAAAAAAATTGTATTAAAAAAAATAAATTTAAATAATGATTTAATAAATATAACTAATAATTTACTTTTAGTAATATTTTTCTTAAAAAAACTAATAGAGTTCTTATTGGATTCATTTGATTGTATACTATTAAAATTAATGTTTTGTTCTTTATTTTCATTTTGATAATACAATGTTTGTATTTCTGTAACTTTATCTTTGAGGGTATTAATATTATGTCTCTTTAATGGATCAGCATCCCAACATTGAATTATTAAATTTTTATATAACATTGGAGTTCCTTGTACGATTTGTGGTCTCATTCCTTTTATTAAATTTATTGCAAGTTCATAATCATGATTAAAGTCAGCAAAAGGTAGTTGTCCAGATAAAATTTCCCACATAAGCATACCGATACTATAAATATATGATTCAAAAGTATATCCTCTTCCATTAATAACTTCGGGTGCTATATAAGGAAGATTTCTATATATACTTTCTACTGGTTTATCAGCAGGGTAACAAAATTCAAAATCACTAATAACCCAAATATCCATACGTTTAGAATATAATATATTTCCTGAATGCAAATCTCTATAAATAAAATTTTCATGATGAAGGCATATAATTGCATCACTTATGTATGAAAGTATATTGAGTCTTTGTTTCCATGTCAATTGATTATGATTTTGCTATAAATATTTTCTTAAATCAATATCGTATAAAGTCATTACAAGAAAATAATCTTTATTATTTAGATCTTGAGTAAGACCAAAAGTTTGAACAAACGTTTTCCATTTATTACTTAATGTTAATTGTGATACAACCTACAAATTAGGACCAAATTAATTAGCTACAACTTTTTTTTAAATAAATAATAAATCTCATGAAATTTTATACCTCTTCAAACCAGCTTCTGTTAGTATTTTCAACATTTTCTAATCTTTTAAGTACTACAGTGTGTGTTCCACTTCTCTTTAATTGTTTTTTGTTTGAATCCCATTCAATATAACTTCCATCAATTCAATCTGCCGTATATTTTTCAGAGAATCTACCTTTAGTTAAATATTTTATATTTTGTAAATTGTTATGAGGGATCCATTCAATAACTTTGTATGGAAGATTTGTTTCCATTTGACATTTCTGTATTAATTCATTAATTTCATCATTTCCAGATATCCAATTTGAAAAATTAGTCATTAAATAATCTCGAATACAATGCTCACAATATGATGTTGCTAAACATTCTTCATTGCAATTTTCACAAACTCTTTTTATTCCTTGATTTAAGGTGACTTTATTGTAACTATAATCATTGTTTAAGATTATTACTGCTTCTGATTTTTCCTGTTTAGTAAGAGATTCATCAGCAAGAATTGTTTGGCATCTAATTTCATATTCTTTGTCAATGTCTAAATGTGTATCTAATGAATTTAATGCATACACTGTTAAGCTTAAACTGTTCGTCGTTAAGTTAACAAAGATTATTTGCTAGTAGGGAGTTTAAGTACGTCTAAACTATGGAAAAAATAAACACGAATAGTTAAATTGAAGGGTCAGATCGTCTTTATTGATACAGATTTAAAGAAGAATGAAGTATTTTACAAGCAAAGGTAAAGTTTTGAGATAATTGTTATTGTTTTATTAGAGAATTGGTATCAACTCTGCCATTTAGCAGGTCAAAGATACAGAGTATTTATACAAAATAAAGTAATAATAAATAAAACATGATAAATAAGATAAATATAATAAATATAATAAATATAACTAATCTATCTAAACTAACAAATATAATATATATAACAAATATAATAAATCTGGTAGATCGGTCAATATGTCATATTTGTCAGATTTGTCCAATTTGTCATATCAGTCAGATCGGCCAAACATTTCAAATCACATGATTGGTTGTAGTTGATCGGCGCAACATAGATCACGCCTTCAACACTCTATTAATGGCAGTAATCAATTCTCTACGAATGGAAGCCATACGATAAATAAAATAGAAAAATAGAAAATATATAATTAGCGTAAAAAAAAAAATTTTTTCGCATGATCGACATTGTATTGTTCGTCTTTATTAACCGCAGAATCTACTACGCCTTCGGAATATTGCGCCGTGTAATTCGTCACACGAATCTTTTTTTATTTGCTTTTCTCAGATTATAAACAAATGATAATAATAATAATAAGTGCAATACTAGAATAAATATCCAACAAAATTGGTTCAAAATCACAATTTCTTTGTTTATTAGAAATTTATTACCATCTGTTACTTTTCAAAGCCATTGTAATAGAAAATGATATTGGTTTTGCAGTTTTGTTAATTTTAGGCCGTTTTTAAGGTGACATTGCATTGTCAGCATTAAATAAAACTTTTTATTTAATATTTGTATTTATATATGAAGAATCCCTTTAGTTTGTAAGAGAATTTTAAGGTAAATGTAGAAGAATTATAATTTTATTAGGTATCTTATATGACTTTATTTTAATATTTTGGATACGATATTTGAATTGATAAGTTTTAATGATATGATGATTTCGTTGTGCTGATCTTAATTTATCCTTATTCTTGCAATATTCCTTTTTTCCTCTCAATATATGATATATCCTTTTTTTTGGATTCTCAATATATCTATCATAAGTGATTGAAAGAGGATTCCACAGTATTTCACTACAGTAAGCAAACTCGAAGTAAAGTGGAATATTATATCCTATCTCAAAGAGCAAAAGAAAAAAAAAAGGTATTAGACTCGATAAGGGATCTATCTCTCAAAAATTTACATTTAATTTCCTAAAAAATCGCATGCAAAGTGTAATAATCAGTTTCTAAATATTTGAATCGATTAATAGTTTTTACATACTAAAATCATTAATGCAAAAATGTAATAACTTTTAGTTTCGAAAAAAAATGCTTGCAGTAATTAAATTCATAATAAACTAACTTTAATTATGAAAAAACCTTTTGATAATTATAATTACTAAAATATTAAGGATACTTATTGTGAATATTTAATATATTGTATAAAAATAAAAACTAATTGCTTATTATTTATTTTTAAGCAAATTACGGGTAACAATGATATGAAATAAATTTTTTCAATATTAATAAATTCATAATAATAATAAATGATCATTTTATACATAATTTATAATGTAAAAATGAAATTACCAACCTTTAATTTGTTATTTCCATAATGGCATTGTACGTCAATACCAATATGATTACATTTCCTGAACCATTTTTCAACTGATACAAAGTTTCGTTCCACTTCTTTAATCCACTGGAGATCTTTAGTTTCTTAATGTTCCTTCAAAATATCCAAAGTTTTCGTTATTATATCAATAAGTCAGTCGTAAATAACAACAAAATCCTTCCAACGTTTTCAGTCAAATCAGTATTATTTTCAGAATTTGCTGTATTCTCATAAAGGACCTTGTTTCATATGGAACTTCGTGTATACCTTTATGGTTAACTACTATTTCGCTGTATTTTGTAAAAAATTCTGTATCTACTACCCCTTTTAATCTAACATTAAATATTAGTTGCAAATTATTTTCCAAATTCGTATTATGCTTAATCAGCCTTTATGGCATTTTGCAATATGGGTTCTTCCTTCCAATAAATATTTGCTGAACTTTTCGCTCTTAAAGTGGTATCATCTTTAATAACATAATGTAAATAACAAGATCAAGATAAGGTCAAAAAAATCTCATAAAGGAAATCTCGTTTTAAATCTTTCCAATGCCCTTCAATAAACATAGTTTTTTGAGAATTAAAATAGTTTTATAAGATGATCGTACCACTCTTTTAAAAAGTATACCCAAAGACGTAAATGTTATTTATAAAAATTATAAATTTTTTTTACAGCTTGCTTTCGGATTTGAATATTTGTTCAACACTCTTCAGTTGAATTTGGTATTAAAGAATGTTGGTTTATATATCTATCTATGATTTCTCGGATTTTTTGCGAAGTTCTTTTGGGCAAATCCTTTCTGATTTTATTTCTATGATTGTTATAAATGTTATTTCAATAAAAAAATTTTTTCCATGTCATGTATAGCAAGTGAATTATATATAATTTGTGTGGCTTTTTGGAACCTTTTAATTTATTTCAATAGCACGTTGCAAATGCCCTCGACATAATTAAATTTTTACATCGATATTATGCTGCAGTGATTTATGCGAAATCTTTATCAGTCAAAAAAACTCTGATTCCACATATTTATGAAGTCAAATTTTCTTTAAAAAATCTGCTATAATTCGTTCGTACTCATCCACTACAATTACCATTGTTTTCAAGAAACAGATATGCTAAAGGAAATCCAATATCATTTACTTCTGCATGAAAATAATAAAAAGTTTAAATTTCAAATTGTTCATATTGTCTAATAAAAATTACAAAAAAAAAGAAATGAGGAGTTTAGCATAAAAATAAAATATTAATAGAATAAAAGTAGAATATTAAATTATTTTTTTTTTAATTATAAATGATTTAGATTTTTTACAAGTAGCATTAATTCCGCATTCAGATAAATAAACTTTACTTTTTCAACTACAGGCTTGAAGAGAATTCAAGAAGAGACCTGAATAATTAGCAACCCAAGTTTGGAATACGGTGAGAAATTATGGTACTTCTGATGATAATAAGTATTTAGGAATAACTTCTAAAAAGATAAAAAAAATCCAAATACTCGTCATTAACATAATGTATGTAATAGTTATTTACCGCGAAATCAGAGATATCGCGGCGGAGCCGTGATATCGGCGATTGAGCGGTAAATAACTAATATATTTCATGGTTACTAACGCCCTTGATAAAAAATGATTTCGTAATAAATATATCATGTATTACAAACTTTATCAATAAATAAACTTTTAAAATTAAACGAAACCATATAATAATAAACAATTATAACCGTCCGTTAGCTTCTAAATAATATTTACAACCGAACATCAAAGTATTATTAACTAGAAAAAGCAATTTCAATTACAAAAAATAATAAAATTGCTCAAAATACAGAAAAGCAACGAAAAATGGCTAAAACGCTTTGAAAATTCTCGAAAAAATGTTACTGATATTTATCCGCAATAGGAGATATAAAAATCAATTACATTTATTTCAGACTTCTTTATATTAGAAAATCAAGTGGCTGCTACTAAAAAAAGAGTGACCGAATATATAGCAATATAAATAATTTAACGAATGTCATTATCAAAATGACTTGTTATTTTAATTAGAATTATAATAATTTTAAATGCAATATTAAATATATTCATTGATAAATAAATTTCCAGTACGATTTTCATACCAATAATGACGAAACATTGATATTTTCCCGGAAAATTTAACTCCGATAATAAATCCAGTAAATTATTAGTAAACGGAGAATATATAATGTTAAATTGCTTGTTATGATTAATAAAGTATATAATTATTCACTACTATAAGACTATGTAGAATATTATTTTCCTGTGACATATCCTTTTGAATAGATATTAAATAAAAAAGGCCAGTTACTAAATCGATTAATAGTTTGAATATTGACTGATAAT